GTGTTGAGATTATTATTATACTTTTTTTATTATTTTTTTTTTTTATTTTTTTTTTTTTTTTTCTGGTTGTATTCACTATGGATCCCATCATGAGCATAATGCAGCACATTCTACCATTTTTTCCTTTACGCGAAACCTGGAACTGACTGCGCTGATGTACTGGGTCTATTTGAATACATGGAAAACGCTTTGCATGCATTTCTGATGATGAAAAAAGGCTCTGGACAGCATCTGGATATGGAACAGTTAAAAAAAACACTGCTAAACGCAAACACTTATAAACGCGGTTAACCGCATTTACAAGCGTTTGAAACGCCGGTAAAATCTGCTCCTGAATGCAAGTTTGGTGCGTTAAAAAAAAATGACTGTAAACTCAACTGCCTGTAAACGATCTGTGTACATGGACACATAGGAAAACATTAGGGAGAGTTCAGGGGCTGCTGAAAAAAAACGCTGAACAGCTCCTGAACGTCAGTTTATCAGCTGCAGTGTACATGAGCCCTTAAAGTGATTTATATCTGTATTCGCTCCCACTTACACAATCCTTGCCATGGGTGAGAGGATGATGTCTCTTGCCCTGCAGCCTCCTGGGACATGTCATGTCCCAGGAGGCTGCAGGGCCATTTACAAAGCGCTACATGAGCTTATGCATGTGCATTGGGAAGCCGGCTGCGGTTCCTCAGGAAGCCACAGCTGGCTCTCCCATCCAAAATGGCAGCGCCAGCAACTTGCAACGGTAAGAAGAACTGACTGCAGGAAGGCAGCCGACTCTAGGCACTGCTAAGTACCTGATTTTTAATAGTAAGTAGCTACGGTATTAGAAGCATTCAAATTGACATTACTCTTTAAAGTGGAACTAAACCTAACTTGTCCACAACTGTGAGCAATCAGCCCTTTATGGCAGAAGAGATTTGCTATGTCTCTTCTGCAATAATACCTACTTACCTGCCTTCTCACAGTGTTTCTAATGAATGTACCCGGCACCCAGAAGTAGCCCGGGACAGAAGATGACAGCAGCTGGTGAGGGATGCAACTGCTGCATTGCTGGAAGCTGAACTTTAATCTACTGACAGACTGCACTACATGTGTTATTACACTACAAATTACAGAGCGGGCATTAGAGTGTCTAGTATTTTATGCATTTTTGATGCTTCTGAGATTATTCAGAATTGCGGCTGACCTCCATCTGACCTGCAGGGTTTTGCATTCCTATAGATTGTTTGGCCGGTTCACACTAGAAATGGGCTCAAATAGAACTACATGTAGTGCATGCAGTACTTTTGGAAATGCACTGCAACCGGATCCCATGGTACCTCTGTACCATGAGATCCAGTGCAGACAAATGCACTGCATTTGGGAAGTCGTTAACTTAACACTGACACCTGCTGCAGATCACAACTGCACTGCATTTTGAACGCAACATGGAAGAGCACATCAAACACGGGTTTACCTGTAAATGAGGGCCCCTAGGTACACAATAGGAAGCAATGCATTAGCTCAGGCATTTGGCAGGGCAGCAACTGTCAGACCTTAGGTAACATCTCACCCCTGACTCTAAGATGAAGAATCAAACTCATACCATGTAAGTAAAGCTAAATAAGGGGATATAAAATGGCTTTTGTGAATCAGCTTATACAATGATCACAAGTTAAAACTGAGGTACTCTCCATAAGCCACATTGTGACTGGTTATCTTTAAAACCTAATTAAAAGTTCTCCAAACTCTTCCTGCAATGTGACTTCCACAGAGCGTTTTTTTCCTTTCCTGTGATTCAGATCTCATCAGGGTCCCCAATGGAAGGCTGCTTTATCTTTGAAAATTCAACTTTTATCCGAGTTCATTAATATATGTAAATATATTTGTAATGCCACAAGCTCTCGGCTTTCCTGCCGGCACATGGAAAAACAATGGCAAGATTTTTGCTTGCTCTCATTTACAATCAGTCCCACCGGCTCTAAGCCCCCTTCATGACGTCTCTTTCTAAAGCCTCCAATGCAGAAAGCGGGGGGGGGGGGGGGGAAATAAAAAGGCTCCAGACAAAGACCCTTCCATCCCCCGAGACCAGGGTGCCGTAAAGGGGGCAAACACACACCCCAGAGAAGTCACGCTTGAAAAGGCTCTATCTACCCCGGCAGGATGACTTCTATTGTCTGCCATCAATGTTAAGGTTAATAATTAAAAGTGAATTTGAAATCTTTGTCTCTGGCTGGTGAGAAGCAATTTATCTTAATTAAATCACATTTCATAACGCTGCCATTTTCTCTCAGCTTTTGAATATGACAATGCCGTTTGCCACCAAAGTCATTTTAATTGAATAAGGAGAAAACTTAACATGTTAATGAAGCTTTATTCAAAGAGTAAATTATCTCCACTATAAGTAATATCATTAAAAGAAGCTGAGCAACAATGCCCTGAGAATAGGAGAGGAGCAGCAATACAAAGTTTAGAGAGAATAATAAGAATTCAGAGTGTCTTGCAATGACAATTTGGTGGCAAGAGGAACTTTTATCAACAAGAGAAAGGATAAAGGGTCAGTCCACCCAAAATTGATGCTGTTTCTGTGTTTGGTGGATGCTGAAGAGTGAAATCATCTGATGGTTTCTTATACTCTATACCTTAGGTATTCTTCACAATGGCACTTCCAAACCTGCATTTATTTGCATTTAGAGGACATTTCAAAATGCATGCAATTAATTTTCAGTGGTGCCATTCACACCAGTGTTTAGGTGCAGTCAATCTAGCTGCATCCATAGCTAAAAGAATGTAAACACAAATAAATTTAGGTGAAATAATATGATATAAACTGGCTTTTTAAAGCGATATTAAAGGTTTTTTTTGGAAAAAAACAAACATGTCTTTAGTTACCTGCTGTGTGCAGTGGCTTTGCACAGAGCAGCCTGGATCCTCCTCTTCTCAGGTCCCCCTCGGACGCCTGACTCCTCCTGTCGGGAGCCCCCATAGCAAGCAGCTTGCTATGGGGGCACCCGAGCAGGTATGTTCCCAACCCGCTGCTCTGTGTGTCCATTTACACATGGAGCTGCAGCTTGGCTCAGCCCCCTCTCTCTTCTCATTGGCTGACTGATGATCGATAGCAGTGGGAACCAATGGCTCCCACTTGCTGTCTCAGCCAATGAGGAGGCAGAGACTCGGGACAGCTGAGGCTGTCATTCACATCAATAGATCGCGATGGGGCTCAGGGAAGTATTGAGGGGGTTAGGGGCGCTGCTGCACACAGGTTTTTTACCTTCATACATAGAATGCAGGAAGGTACAAAACCTTCAGCCTTTACAACCACTTTTTAACGTCCAAAGAGTAAACTCTTAAGCAAATGCTGATAGCTGCAGTAGCTGTAGCCTGTGCCTGTTTTGTTCAGCCGGCCTGAAAGTGATGCAGCTGCTGTATAGCTTACAATCACTTTCACAGAGCAGGCAGTGCAGTGCCTCCCCCCGATCTCCCATGTACTGAACGAAATGGGATTGCTGTGAAGGGCAAGGGAGACATTGGGGTCTATTAAACCCCTAATATCTCCATAAAGTGTACCTGTCACCTGCCCCATGCTATTACATGGGAGTTTATTAACTCACACTGGTGTGACTTGTCAAAAGATTTGACAGTTCAAAATTGCATGACAAGTCATACCCCAATGGGACCGTTCATATTGCAGCGATTATGAAAAAGGTTCCTGAATTACTTTTTGCTGATTTCATTGCAACTTGCATAGACTTCTGTTATATGAAGTCGCAAGCCACAATGAAATCGGCAGTGCAAATGTGCCTTTGAAATTGTGATGAAGTAGCGCAATTTCAAAGCTGTGCCAGTCTGAACTGGGGCTTAGTGATAACAATAAAAATAGATAAATGCAAGAAAGTAAGTTTAAAAACCAATAAAATTATAATAAAATACATTTAAAATTCTCTCCTGGTTAACTCTAAACTGATGAGCTGTAAAGGCTTTTAAAGCATCACCTATAGAGATTTTTGGGTACCGTAGTTTTCTGCGCTATCATGGGTGCATGCAATTTTAAGACTTGACATGTTTGGCATCTACTTACTCAATGCAACCTCATCTTTTATATTTTACAAAAAAATGGGTATTGTATAGTGTGTTTGCACTAAAATTAATTTTATTTTTTTTCCCTGAAAATTTGTGTTTGATAAACACCTTTGCAAATATTATGCAACATAAAAAAAATGCAACTATCATTTTGCTCTAATGCCAAACTAGTTAAACCAGGAACATCTAAATGCAGGAGAAAAAGATCTGGGAACATAAAAGTTGCATATACCGTATTTTGCGCTCCATAAGAAGCACCTGACCATAAGACGCGCCTAGGTTTTAGAGGAGAAAAAACAAGAAAAAAAATATTCTGAACCAATGGACTGCAGACATAGTACAGGAAGTGACCAGACACTGCGGACACAGTACAGGAGATGACCAGAGACTGCAGACAGTACAAGAGATGACCAAAGACTGCGGACACAGTACAGGAGAATGACCAGAGACTGCGGACATAGTACAGGAGATGGACCAGAGACTGCGGACACAGTACAGGAGAAGGACCAGAGACTGCGGACACAGTACAGGAGATGGACCAGAGACTGTGGACATAGTACAGGAGATGGACCAGAGACTGCGGACACAGTACAGGAGAAGGACCAGAGACTGCGGACATAGTACAGGAGATGACCAGAGACTACAGACACAGTACAGGAGATGACCACAGACTGCGGACATAGTACAGGAGATGACCAGAGAAAGCAGACACAGTACAGGGATGACCAGAGACTGCGGACACAGTACAGGAGATGACCAGAGACTGCGGACACAGTACAGGAGATGACCAGAGACTGCAGACACAGTACAGGGATGACCAGAGACTGCGGACACAGTACAGGAGAAGACCAGAGACTGCGGACACAGTACAGGAGATGACCAGAGACTGCGGACACAGTACAGGAGATGACCAGAGACTGTGGACACAGTACAGGAGATGACCAGAGACTGCGGACACAGTACAAGAGATGACCAGAGACTGCAGACACAGTACAGGGGATGACCAGAGACTGCGGACATACTACAGGAGATGAGCAGAGACTGCAGACATACAGTACAGGAGATGACCAGAGACTGCGGACATACTACAGGAGATGACCAGAGACTGCGGACATAGTACAGGAGATGACCAGAGAATGCGGACATAGTACAGGAGATTGATCAGAGACTGTGGACACAGTACAGGAGATGAACAGAGACTGCAGACAGTACAGGGATGACCAGAGACTGCGGACACAGTACAGGAGATGACCAGAGACTGCGGACACAGTACAGGAGATGACCAGAGACTGCAGACAGTACAGGAGATGACCAGAGACTGCAGACAGTACAGGAGATGACCAGAGACTGCAGACAGTACAGGGGATGACCAGAGACTGCAGACAGTACAGGTGATGACCAGAGACTGCAGACAGTACAGGGGATGACCAGAGACTGTGGACAGTACAGGGGATGACCAGAGACTGCAGACAGTACAGGGGATGAACAGGGACTGCAGACAGTACAGGGGATGAACAGAGACTGCGGACAGTATAGGGGATGAACAGAGACTGAGGACAGTATAGGGGATGAACAGAGACTGCGGACAGTATAGGGGATGAACAGAGACTGCGGACAGTACAGGAGATGACCAGACTGCAAACATTACAGATGACCAGAGACTGCAGACAGTACAGGGCATGACCAGACACTGCGGACCTTTAGGGAGGGAGGGGGGAGCGGGTACCTGAATTTGAATGGGACCCGCTCCCACTTCCGCGGAGTTCTCCTTCCTATACTGTGGGCACCCAACTTTGACAGCCAGGTGCCCACTGCGCATGCGCGAGAAGCGCTGCGCTTTGTGAATGGCCGGGCGTCTTTTGGGACCTGTCGTGTCCCAGAAGACACCGGACCATTCACAAAGCGCAGCGCTTCTCGTGCATGCGCAGTGGGCACCCGGCTGTCACACATGCCGGGGCAGGAAGAAGTCGGCGCGGGAAGACTACAGCGCTGGAGCGAGGAACAGGTGAGTTCCTGCCGCAGAGAACAGCTGAGCGGCCGGCCCGGTATTCTGACATGGTGGCAGCGGAAAAAACCGGACCGGACACTTTATATTCGCTCCATCAGACGCACTGACATTTTCACCCCTTTTTTGGGGGGAAAAAAGTGTGTCTTATGGAGCGAAAAATACGGTACTTCCCAGCTAACTTCTTCTGCATTTAAAAAAGCTATACGCAAGAGTGGCAGTGTGAATGATTCTGATACTGAGATTTGTAACTGAATTCCTGGCTCTTCACACCTTATGAGTACTAAGCTGAAGGACACACCACACAAATATAAATTCAGGTATAAACACCCATACTCTACCACATATGAATTAAGTGCAACGCATCATAATGCTAAGGCTTCATTCAAAGGGGTGTACTTATGTGTACGCCCATGAGAGGGCTGTGTTTGCCCACATGGGGATGCACAGGTATGCTGTGCATCCCTGTGCAGGCAGTATCATTCAAATCAATTGCTGCATGGAAGTAGTTGCTGGTCCCAAATTGAAGAGCCCTGTGGATACATGGTCCCAAGTGTAGACTGTGTGTGTTCAGAGCCATGCACCCGCACAGCTGGCAAATGGGAACCAACATCTGTGTTCCAATTGACATGAATGGAACTGCTTACACAAGTATGCATGGAACACCTGTGTAACCGCATGTGGGAAAACACAGCCCTCGCACAGGTGTATGCTTAAGTACGCACATGTGAACATGGCCTAACTGTTAAACTCCTAAAATTCACGCTCTAAACATAACCTACCCCTAAGGTTTACAGAGGACCTTGTAAGTAATTTTACAAGTCTGCATTTCTGGCACATCCCAATGTACACCAGCAATATCATTTTTCAAAATAGTTCCGCCTTTTATTATTAAAGAAACTTCCTCGAGCTCCAGCCTGTGACTTTGCCTAGGCTCAGATGATGTCATCACTCTGCTGAAGCCAGGATGAAACATTTCCTCAATCGCTTCCACCCCCCAATGATCAGGCTGCAACATTCATTGTGAAATTGCAGCAAGTCACAAGGTGAGTGAGAGGCACCAGCAGAAGCTGATCTGTATTTGTGAATACAGTCAAGTACTACACAGGCACTAGAATTTACATAATTGTGTTTTCTCTGAGCCGGCATCTCAGTCTAAGAATTAGGTGGTGACCCTGGACGATACCTGTCACCCTCTTGCTACTGCCTCTACCTTCCCCTCTGGTCTTCCAAGCTCTTGCTATCTTTCTTGGTAAATGTTTACCCTGAAGAATATAAAGCTGGCCATTGATAGAAATGTTCGTATGTAGAACACCTACAGTAGCTGATCTGCAGACTCTCACATCAGTGCTGTAGGTCTTGAAATTCTATTGCTGAATTCACATTAGCTCAGTATGCTGTCTTGTGATCCTCTTGCTCTAATCTTTATGGACCAGCAACACAGAAATGACACCATTTCCATTGAGGGCACGGACAACTGAGCATGCATCATCTCCAGGGGCGGACTGACCATTTGGAAACTAGGGAACTGCCCGAGGGCCCGGGGTCAGTAGGGGGCCCCATGAGATGCCCCTGGTACCTCTTTCATAGGCTTTTTTGAGTTTGGGCAAGGACGCAGGGGTCCCATGATCCCCTATTGCCCGGGGGCCCCATGAGTTGTCAGTCCGCCCCTGATCATCTCCAATGTACCACTAACCCCTCCCTTTTAGATTGTAACCTCCCAGGATCAGGGCCCTCCTAACCCTCTTGTATTGAACTGTATTGTTGCTGTATTGTCTCCCATTATATTGTAAAGCGCTGAGCAAACTGTTGGCGCTATATAAATCCTGTACTATAATAATAATAATCTCCAATGCAGAACATGTGCTCACAGTGACTCATCTTACCTGTAGATCCGATGGACCACGTGATGTTGAGGTTAAAATTGTTGGATGCATTAATAGAAATATCCAAATTCTTGTTTGCCTGGAAAGAGAAAAAAACATTGTTTGACCAGATAAGCTCAAGTGAACTCCTCATCAGTTCAATGTTATACTGTATTAGTCCTCATGCACACTGGACGTTTTTACTGCGGCTGTTTTTGGCTTTTTTTTCTACAGCCAGTAAACTCCCCAGCATGTTATCCTATGTGTCCATGCACACATAGGCTGTAATCAGCGTTTTTTTGGGAGGGGTGATTTTTAGCTGGAAACAAAACCCCAGAACTAGTGGGTTTCTAAGGGAGTTTTTTAGCTGTAGAACACTCGAACGATGAAAAACGCTATAAAACGTGGCAAACCAGCATTTTTTGGACTGTTTTTGAGCAGTTAAAAAAAAAAAAAAGCTAACAAACATGGAAAAACGCAGCAAAACACTAAAGCAAAAGAGCTAAAAAATGCCGAAAAACTTGCGTTTTAAACATGACTTTACACAGCTAACGCTACCAGTGTTATTAAAATGCCCAGCCTGATAGCGAAAGATCTGATAACCTCAAATCAAAATGAACAACACACACATACACACTGCAATCCAGCAATCAAATATAAAGCGCATTAAATGAGCAGACAATCATACAATCACACTATGCTGTGTGTGGCTTTAGTGTCTATTAGCAGAAATGTACCAAGAGGTGTGAGCGCAGCCTGACACCCGATGACATCACACATCCCACTTATAAACATTGGTGCCCGGGTCAGCTTAGCGGGAGATCTGGATGTAATAATAACTAAATTAGCAACACAAGAGGAAGAGAGCGTCAGGGAGGAAATTACATCCTGCAGTATTAATAAGGATGTAAAATAATGTGTGCACATAACAACCAATCATACGGAGACTGTGCAGACACAGAACATGTACATAGTATAGGATGACGGGGAAATTAGGAGAATGGGAGAGATCTGTCTGCTACAGGTCATACAGCGGACAAGGGCAACATTGCGAGGGACTACAATTCCCAGCATATAGCGCCGTCATAGCTGTCAGCGGCGGTAGGTAAGGGCTGGTGATCTGAGTAATGACACCTATTCACAAAGGTTAAAAATATGTAATCACCCTATTCCTCCTGACTGAAAAGGAAGTTATAATCTTACAAATGTGTTTCTAATTTTTAGATACATATATGAAGGCGATTAACTTAATGTAAATATTCAAATGCGTTTGAATTTGTGATGTAGTAGGTGTTTTGGGGCAGTGATATACAAACTACTGCAGGAAATCTCACCATGTGGGAGGGGCAGAGACAAAAACTACTGCAAGAAAAACTCCCTATTGTGGGAGGGGCAGAGACACAAACTATTACAGGAAATCTCTCCACTGTGGGAGGGGCAGAGACACAAACTACTGCAGGAAATCTCCCCATTGTGGGAGGGTCTCCCCATTGTGGGAGGGGTAGAGACACAGACTACTGCAGGACACTCCCCATTGTGGGAGGGGCAGAGACACAGACTACTGCATCTTGTGGGAGGGGCAGAGACACAGACAGGAAACATTGTGGGAGGGGCAGGACTACTGCAGGACATCTCCCCATTGTGGGAGGGGCAGAGACACAGACTACTGCAGGAAATCCCCCCATTGTGGAAGGGGCAGAGACACAAACTACTGCAGGAAATCTCCCCATTGTGGGAGGGGCAGAGACACAAACTACTGCAGGAAATCTCCCCATTGTGGGAGGGGCAGAGACACAAACTACTGCAGGAAATCTCCCCATTGTGGGAGGGGGAGACACAAACTACTGCAGAAATCTCCCCATTGTGGGAGGGGCAGAGACACAGACTACTGCAGGAAATCTCCCCATTGTGGGAGAGGCAGAGACACAAAATACTGCAGGAAATCTCCCCACTGTGGGAGGGGCAGAGACTCAAACTATTGCAAGGGAACCCTCCCCTATGTGGGAGGAGAGGAGGCACAAATGTCACTACCAACACTTGTCCAGAGCTAAAATCTTAACTTTAGGTTGGAGAACCTTTTTCTTTTGTTCATTCTGTAAAGATTTCAGATTTTTGTTTCACTTTCTGACATAAATCCCAATGACTTCCTCCACTCTGACTTGTCTTGTTAGCTGTGAATAAGTCGCGGGGTCCTGCTCAGCCTCTCCTGTCATCACATCCATTTTGTCACGTTCGTCATCCACATATGACATCTGGGATGTGACTCAAGGATCACGGCCCAAATGGAATTTGTGAGACCATCTGCGCCACAGACCAGGCTGCTGGCTAATTATGGATGATCACAGATGCATGACACCGCTGTGCTGGCAAGCTACAGACACGGACTGGCATCCAGTGGCGATGATGCGTTGGATGTAGTGGCTCACCTGCTCGGGGTTGGCGATGAAGTTGATAGCTGTGTGGTGGCGATCATCCTCCTGGATAAGACTGAAGGTGAACTGATAGTCAATCAGCAGACTGTCTGTGGAGAAACATCAGAGATCCAAAATTAGAAGAGAGTGGAGAGGGAGAGAGGGTGAGAGAGAGAGA